TCGGGACATTTCTATGTGGTCCTTCTGGACATATATGTGGTCCTTCGGACAATTTTACGAGGTTATTCGAGACAATTTATATGGCACTCAGTGCAAATTATACGAGTTGTGGTGGCAACATTTGTGTACAACCTCAACGCACACATATCTCTAGTTCTCAGTATACATGGGCTAATAAAGAGATAAAAACAAATACATTGTATGTGATGTATTGCTTTGTGATGTGAAATGTATACATGAATTATGTGATGTTGTGTATTATTTGGTTAAATTAGTCATATGATGGTTAAGAATGTTAGGCATAAGAGTATATGATTATAAGGACTAATGTTAAGATATTAAGATGATAAGATGGTACATGTATATATAAACATTTTCTTATATGAGATGTATATGATTTTGTATGATATTATCGTATGAAATGTACATGCATTGTTAAGTAGTTACAGTTTCCATATTCGTTTACATGTCTCACTAAGTCTGTGACTTAGCGTGTGAGTGTTTCACACGTAGGACCTGAGAAGTTTGAAAGCAAAGATAGGCAGTAGACAACATAACATCATCGGAGATCAGATTAGAAGAAATTTAGCAGTAGATTTTGTATTGTATAATAACGTTGGCATGTACCTAAAGGATTAAATTGTATAAGCTCTGATCAATTTTTGTAAACCTTTTGATTTAATGTATGTTTTTTCAGTATGTTTAAATTAAGTCTGAAATTTTCCTCTATTTTATATAAGGAAATGATTTCAAAGGTTAATGTGACACCTCGACTCGTATTCGGGTCGGATACGGATTGGGGTGTTACAGAAGATTTCAGTCTTTATCTTTTTAATTTTTTTGTATCTTTATAATTTTGTTCATTTGTGCATTTTTGTTAGTTTTCTGATTGATAAACTCTGGGTTTTGAAGAATTTATTCATAAGATATGTTATTTTGTTGAATTCTTTAACTGTTTTTTTTATGGTAAATGAAAAATCTCGGATAATCTGAATTGGAATATTATCATCTGGTAGCCTTGTCAATGGAGAATCATCACCTTCAACTCTTGTTTATGGATTCAAGTGATTTCTCACGAAGAATTGCATTAGAAACGATAGGTAGATTGTTGTTTAAAATTTTATAATTATCTTAACTGCAATTTTAGATTTTTAAAACTATAAAAGACAAACAAAAATTGAAATTTGCCCAATGGTTAGTACTAAGTTTTATTTTTTGGGTTTAGGGTTTAATCCCTTTGGGTGCACATTATTTCAATAATTTTTTAAGTAAAAACGTCGTTTGGCGACATCCACTTCAGTATGTCATAGCGCGAAGTTGTCATGTCATCGTACCATTAAATCATTAATAGTGAAGTGAAATAATTGTACTTAAAAATAATATTAATACTTAAATTGACAAAATTAAAACATTGATGATATAAAATCAACATTTAAGGTTAATGATATTTGAAGTAATTTACTTTTTTTATATCATATATAATAGTTAAAGCCTAAAAAGATAAAATAAAAGTGATATGATTATGGGGACTTAAACCTACGTTATTGAGATGTATAGAATATCTAAACTATTGAAACAAATATAATAATTGATATATATTGAATACAATATATATATGCAAGATTTTTTATATTTTAATATAATTATAAAGTGGATATTTTTAAACTTAATTAATAAATTTAATTGTTCATTAAAAATGAAATGTAGGAATTATCTATATTTTAGTAAAAATTTATTAGATTATCCGGTTTGATTACGTTTAATTTAAATTATAATGTTAACTTAATACAAAAAAGTTCTAAATTATACCTAAAGTTAATTTTAAGTGTTTAAAGAATTTTTCGTTAAAAATAAGGGACTAACGTTTCCAAAATGTTACACTAGGTGTTAGATCGTAACTACATTTAAATTTGATCATTATCTAACATGTATTAGTCATATAAAATTTAAATTTTTATTGTAAAAACCTTCAAGTTATTATTTAAAAAATTTAATTTTTTGAAATTATAAAAAAATTCAATATCATGAAAAACCCTAATTTCAATCTCCTCACACCACCAACATCATAACCACCACCAATTAGCCAAAATCTTGACGACGATTCAACACTAATGGCCGAACCCCATGATTTGAGTGACATTATCGTAAATATGAACGATTGCATCGACTTATTGATTCTGGCTAAGGGCGATGATTCCAATTTCAAGCGATGATTCCTCCCTCGTGCGTTGAAATCCGATTAGATAAGGTCGACAAAAAAGGCGACGACTAAGACAACACTGAGGCGTCCGACGTGGATAAAGGGATATAAGATTTGGGTTTTTAGAGTTTTGTTTTTTTACATTTATGAAAATTTGGAGTTTTTGATAATTCTATTTTCTATTTTTTTTATTTTAAAAAATACTTTTTAAATTTTTATAAGTTTACACATTCACTTAATAGACAAATTTAATGACATACACTTAAAAGTGTAATGCCATAAATGTTATACAGCTATTTTTAATAGAAAATTATTAAGACACATAAAGTTAACTTTAATTATACTTTAGATACTTATTTTTGTATTAAGCCTAATATTAATAAGATTAAAATTCACGTTGGTGAATGAGATATAATATCAAAGGATCTTTTGATGATAAAATATAAAATTCGAATTATAAATTTATTTAGTATTTAAATTGTATTTGTGAATTTAATTTATTAATAATTAAATCTCTTGCATAAACAAAACATCTAAATTAAATGTTATCTCTTTATAAAAAATATAAATAAATATTATTTATAATTTCCTTAAACTATTGAAAATAAATCCCTCAATGAATCAAATATAAGTAATTAGTAATTATGATTTTAGTAAGGGTGTTCAGATCTAATCCGATAAAAAAATACCGAAAATCGATTCAAAAACCGAAACCTATTTAGTGTGTTTGTTTTTTTTTAAAAAAAATTGATCGATTCAGTTCAATTTCGGTTTAGAAATTCGGAACCGATCCAAACCGAATCGAATCGATAGTCTCTTACAATGAATAACTATCTCCATGCACAGAGCAACACTGTTCCATTGATAGATATTACAGGCTGTTTATAACCGATCCAAAATATTTTCCAATGTTTTTGTAATATCTTTGTTTTATTTTTTTTTGTCTGTGTCCTGTGGATATTACAGGCTGCATGTGATGATGAGACTGAAAAATATAGAGGGCACTTATTCTCCAATTGCTAAACTCCAACATTAATAAAGAGGTTTTCGTGTCTCTCTCTCCCTGTTTCCATTTGTAAGAAACTGGGAATCACTTGCATTCTTATGGACTCATATTCATGTGCGAAAAGTTTTGATCAATAACTAAGAATAGGAGATTTTAACTTTTTTAGGGATCTACTTGCAAAAACCTTTCTATATATATATATTTAAGTGCATAATGGAATTAATCAAAGGGAAAGTCACTTAGGACTTACTGTCTTTGTTTTTTTTTATGAAAAAAATTAAAGAATTTTTGAAAAATTAGAATAAAAAAATCTTATAAATCCAAATTGAATTAAGCTACACTTAATTGGATCGGATCGAATCAAATTTTTTTTAGAAACATACAAATCGATTAAAACCGCAAATATTTACTTTCGGATCGAATAAATTTTAACCAAAAATCGATCCAAACATACCACAACCCTCCTTAATTTTAGGTACGGAATTCAAATTTGGGTGTATTAGATCCTAATGGAAACGTACCGGCCCAAAAGCCCCCAATATATTAAAGCTTTTTTTTTCTTCTTTTGATGTTTTAATAAAATAAATAAACTAATTTGGAAACAAATGTGAAATCCGGGAAATGAACAACCGGATTTCTCAGCTGCAATTTCATCCCGTCTTCTTCGACTTCAACAAAAGTGATTGATAGATGCAAAAGCTGTGATAGCTCTATCAGTCGAAAGAATTTATACTTTGCCTTCTCTATGGACAACCGAAATGTCGTTGTTTGCGACAACGGCACCGGCGTAATTCCTTTTTCTCTCTCTCTTCAAACATACCTTCATTCTTATTACTCTCTCTGCGTGAAATTGCTTTCAAAGAAATTACTCAATCACTTGATTACCACTTTAAGCTAAATTTAGTCGTCATACAGCCCGATTTCCAAGCTTTCTCTATCGTTCTTTAATTTGATTTTTTAGTTTGCTTGACTGGATCTGTTTGATGTTCTATTGCAGTACGTAAAATGCGGTTTCGCTGGGGAAATTTCCGACATCTGTCTTCCCGTGCGTGTCGGGAGACCTATGTTACGATACGAGGAGTTTCTCGTGAACAAGAGTTGAAGGTCCTAAAATTGTTCTCTTATAATCGTGCCTTCTCCTGGTTTCAAAGTTGAAATTATAAGATCTTGTTATTATTAGTATTATTATTATTGTTCGATTTTGCAGCTGTAATATTTTGGTGTATAAATTGGAATACTGATTTACATAATTTGAACTTTGATTAGGATATTGTTGTTGGAGAAGCATGTGCTGATTTGAAATCAGTTGGATATATCCTATCCGGTTACCAACGGAATTGTGCAGAATTGGGATGATATGTATCACGTGTGGGATCACGCCTTTTACAATGAACTAAAGGTCTTCTTTCCTTAATTTTTTGTTGTTTGGCTCTCATTCATGTTGTTTATATATTTATTGGTCTTAATTATGCTTTTTGTTTTTTTCTTTAAGCAGATTAATCCTAGTGACTGCAAGATATTACTTACTGACCCACCTCTTAATCCTTCTAAAAACCGCGAACAAATGGTTTGAATCCCAATTTATTTGTTTGCTGATTTATTGGAATTTTCAAGAACTTAGTTCAGGATCTCATGAGTTGGGTTGATTTGAGGTTGCAGTTGAGACCATGTTTGAAAAATACAACTGGTCTGCTAACTGGACTAGTTATTGACTCTGGTGATGGTGTCACTCATGTGGTAATCTGTTCAACAACCCTTTACCATTATTTTTTAGGAGAAGTTGCAGTATGTAGTATGGTGCGCCATTGTAGGAGCACTCAAGGTGAAGTCCTTAGAATAATTTCTTTTGCTTTTTGTCTCAGGTTCCTGTTGTGATGGCTTTTCATTTCCTCATCTTACTAAGCGAATGAATGTAGCGGGTCGGCACATAACAGCCTTTCTTGTTGATTTACTCTCACGTAGAGGGTGATGACCAGTTCTTTATAAGAAAACTTGTCAGAACATAAAACTACTAATGCTATTGATCATCATCAAATGATCTTTTTCTGGGTGTCTTTCTGTAGGTATGCAATGAATAGAACTGCTGATTTTGTGACTGTCAGGGAAATCAAAGAAACTCTGCTATATAAGGTGAACGATCATTTTTTCTGGCTTTTCGGTTTTATGAATCAAGTATATAGTTCAATTTCACATTAATTGTGTTTATATTCAGTTATGATTACAAAAGGGAATATCAACTGGGACTCGAGACCACCATTCTTGTTAAGAATTACACTGTAAGTACTTTTGGTGAATTTGTCATTTCCTCATCTGCCACAAAATTTGATTTTATGATTTTACTTTTTTTTTTGAAATGATTTTACTTGTTAAATTTGATGCACTTTTATGGATTAGGTCTGGTATTTCAGTTTCTCTAGATTTGTATTAACAAAACTCTAATGAAAAATATTGTCTCGAGAGTACTGACAATTTTTGTTTGAAACAGCTGCCTGATGGGAGAGTTATTAAAGTTGGCACTGAAAGGTTCCAGGCCCCTGAGGCTCTTTTCACTCCAGTAAGTACTGTAGTTCTCTCTGTTGTCATTGACTTATGAATAAATATTTTTCTGTGCTACCTAATTTCTGAATTAATCTGGATGTATTTGGCTGTTACAATGTGAACTAATATTTGCAACGGTAATATAGTTTTTGAATTACTGTGCCACATCTGTTGGCTGTTTAGTTATTGTTTGTACGTGGTTTTGCATTGATTAGGTTGCGATTGTGTTATAATAAATTATTGTGGTAGAACTAAGATAATATAGTTAAAATATATATTTGATAGAGCATAGACTGTCAAAGTAAGATTTTTTTTCTTTTGTAGGAACTTATTGATGTTGAAGGTGATGGTATGGCTGACATGGTTTTCCGCTGCATTCATGAGATGGATATCAACAATCGCATGATGGTACTAAATTATTTCTGGGAATATAGTGTTTATTGTCTAAAATTACTCTAACAACGTGCTGAAGCTTTTTGCTGTAAATCTGTTACTATGTACCTGTATTTTAATGAAGCTTTTTATCCTCCTCTTTCTTTGAACCCATTCTGCAGCGTTTTGTTGTGTGTTTATCTCCCTTCGCTTTATTTTAGTTAGCATTTTCTTCAAGGAGTTTGCTCTTTCATTATCTTCTTTGTATAAATTGCTTGTCTAATGGAGGATACAACTTCCTAAGGCAAAGTTATTTTCTATTTCTCTTCTGTTCCCATTTACAGACTCCAAAATGGATCATCATGATTAATGAAAGTTAATAAATTGATATCATTGAGTGAAACCTTGCATTATTAATAACCATCCTTCCAGAAAATGAACCGTGGGCCCTTTGGCTGTAGTATATGTATATGTTCTTGGTTGGATTTTTGTTGTGTAAACCTAACTTGTTATTTGCTTTATATTTTACAGCTCTATCAGCATATAGTTTTAAGTGGAAGGAGCACCATGTACCCTGGCTTACCTAGTCGGTAATATATTTGTATAAATAATCATATTCTAAGATACTTTTGAAATTGCATGCAGAGTGAATTCCAATATCTTTAATCCCGGTTCCATCATTCCCCTGGCTGCATTCTCGAGTTTGGATGTGCCTTCTTATCATAACAATTTTCTTTTGATTCAGGCTGGAGAGGGAAATCCTAGATCGATATCTTGACGTGGTTCTAAAGGGAAACAAGGATGGATTGAAGGTAATATTTATTGCTGAACCTATAACAGAAACTACTCCATCTTCTGTTTCTATAATCTCTCTTTTGAATTGCGTGTAATGCCATTGATTGAGCAAGTCAAGTAAAATCATCATTTGAGCTAGATACAGCAAAAACAAGTAAATGGCTAAAACAAATCTGTCCTCAGCTTTAAATACTTTTCTCGTGCTTCTAAATAGAAACTGCGACTGAGGATTGAGGATCCACCACGAAGAAAGCATATGGTGTATCTTGGTGGTGCTGTACTTGCCGGGATTATGAAGGTACTCTTCTCTCTCATTCCTAGACACGCACATGTGAACAGATTCTCATTTGCACAGTCAGAAAAGAGAAAACTATGTTTCAAAAGCTTGGTTTGAGCATGATATCTGATGACAGCTTAGAATTCATCAAAACATATTTGAACCTTGCAGGATGCACCCGAATTTTGGATCAGCAAGGAAGATTATTTGGAAGAGGGAATTGCCTGCCTAAGCAAGTGTGGCCCTGCTTGACCTTTTGTTAGCAACACTTTTCAATTCTTGTTGTATGTTCGGTGCGTTCACCCTGTGATTCCATTCATTAGCCTAGAGAACCACACACAAGGGTGTCCAAGGTAGGCTGTCTCATATCAGTCGACTTCTTAAACTACACATCCTGGCATCTATTCGCCTATCGGACTGAGCAGCCTATTGAATGATTATCTCTTATGTTACTACTATCAGGAAAAAAAAAGGTGCCCTTGTAGAAGCTATATATACTTTTACCAGACCAGAAATTTTGGTTTCTATACGTACTCTCATAGAAGTTGTTACACTCGTGGTGTTTTTATTTCAAGTGAGGTTTGATCCGCTGAACTGTATTGTATTGTGCCTACTTATTTGAATATAAATGAATGTCAATATATATACTGCGACAGGAAATGGCAATACATTTAAGTACCAACATTTTATTTTTCTTATGATTTCGGCCATTGTTCAAAGTTTGTATTTCTTGTTTGTAAATCGTCAATCCATAAAGAAAATGTACTTTAAGCATATTCGAATGCATAAGATTAGAGATGATTACTATATTAATAATTTTTTATGCAAAATGTTTCATCATACATTGTTTTGAAATTAATTTGATATACTAGAACAGTTATGCTACATTACTTTTGGAGGTTTGCCACGTGCTAATTTTTGCAGAAAACACTGACAATTTTACTCTGAGAACATCTTTTTCAGCATTTCTCACATGGTTTGTTTCCTCATAATCTAGAAATTCTGCATTTAAACCCATTAAATATGGATTAGTAAGCCCTTTTTTTCTCAGAATATATTTATATATCATTTATGAATCAGAGTGCAATTGAATGTCCATCTATAATGGAGAAGTCCAATGAGAAGTGTCTCGGCTTACTGTAATCCAAGGATATCCAACCCTGGTTTGTCCAGCTGAAGATGCAGAAAAGAGATTTTACGTTCTTTCAAATCTTGACCAAACATTGCAGTGGTTGTACCATCTATTGCTTCAAATCAAACGAGAACAGGAATGAAAATGCCGGTAAAGTGATCAAGGATGCCTTAATACTTGTTCATTTTTCCTCTTGCCGGAAGCTAACGATCAGCTCGGAGGGCAAACTAATAGTAGACTGCACTGGAGAAGGGGCTGTCTTCATTGAAGCTGAAGCAAACTGTAAGATATTCTAGTTTGGCAAATGCTAACTATCCCACCATTTTTGGACAGAACCATTCTGAAAGCCCAAAGCCCACCTAAGATCGAGCACCTGCATCAGGAATTTGCTGAGATAGAGGACAAGTCTAGCACTGTTGAGCTCTACAAAGATGAAATGATCCACAGAGCTCTGTTTTGAGCCCGAGAAGCTTGAAAAACTAAAGAAAAACTAAGGAAGACAGTGTTCTTGAGAATGTCCTACGTTCTAAGCTCTTTCAGCATTTGTGTGAAGGGCTCGGACCAAGGCACTTAACATGCTGTCTGACCAACAAACAAAGCTCCTCTTCGAAGTTGATGACAGACATAGATTCAATCCTCCACTACCAGAAGGTTACTTATATGCCAGGCAAGTGAGCTATTGGAGAACCTGTTTTCACACGCCGTGGGGCTCATTCAGGATGCAATTAAGATGGTTACAGATGATTACATGAGATCAGCCATGGATTACTTCGAGGTTACAAGAGTTAGGCCATCTTTTTCATTCTCTCTTCTCATCACTGCACGGTCTAGGCTATCTTTCCACACTACAGATTTCGGATGGGGAGAGCTTGTTCTATAGGGGCTAGTAGCATTGCCGGAGAAGGAAGTCGGAACGGGGGATGTCTAAGCTAAAAATCTAGGCTGTGTCAATAGAAGGTTGTTTTCTGTTTTTATTTCGATTGGATCTTTTATACATCGAGAGCTGGAGGCCATCAATTCCAACTTGCGTGCCCGGTGGTTATGTATCTTGATTTAAAATTCAATCATTTGTCTTCATCAAAAATGATAATGATATTATGTCTTATATTTCATTCTTTATGCTGAAGAAGACATTGCAGATTAAGTGCTTGAGGATTGAAAAAGTTCATCCTCTATACTACAAAAATATCGAAACGCGACAAGAAACAAATCATAAAACCGAAGCCAAAGTTGGATCAGATTCATATTCGAAAGAAAATGCGAACATCATCAGGCGGGAGAGTTCATATGTATCATATCTTCCAACAAAAGCCTTTCCTCTGTTTAGCTTTTCACATTTTAAAAAACACTATTATTACTAATATCTAAAAATATATGGTACATCAATCATGTATGTCCACAAGCTTGACCTTGACTCCATTTGCATAAACAATGAAGGATGAAAATACCTATTAATATATGGCTCTTTTTTCGTCCTTAAATGAGCACCAGTAAGGCTGGAAAGGGTTAGCGCAGGTTTTCCATTTCTTGTACTATGCGCAGACCGAGAAACAGAAAGAACCTTCACCGGATAGCAGAGGAGAAGGCGACCGTATATAATTCTATAACCGAGATTAGTGTGTTAATAAAAAGAGAGCGAATTATTCCCCACACAAAGTAACGTCTCTTTTTGATGGTCTGAAATTCAATGCAGATAGGCTGTAGATGCAGATATTGGGGTGCCTGGATTTTATTGCTATCTCATCTGTTGTGCTACTGTAACCGGGAATGTTGCATGAAGTGGACAAGCTCCCAACTAAGCTAGCCTGGCAAGTCGATGCAATGGCTGCCTCCGCGCATTCAATCCCATCGACCGATGGTATGTCCAACATGTATACCCCACGTTTATCCGTAGTTCTGTTGACAGAGAACGATATCTGTTCCCTTGTTTTCTGAATAAACGCCCTGAAGTTGCAGTCTATTTGAACTTCGGCGCCTGGTTAGGAAAACATGTTATTCGTTTTAATTTTGTTACTTACCAAATATCCAAAGAGCAAAACAACAGAACATGGAACAAATAGTAGGGTTGCTGATGAGACACTTCACCTGGTAAAAAGTAGCTGTGTCTGGAGAAGCTGTTGTTGGAGCAAATGTCACAATAAACGAGGCCCATTACAGTGATCTGACCATTGGTTTTTGATGACTCAGTTTGCAAAGGTAATATCTTAGTTAGCAGAGATAAAAACAGGAAGGGAATCACTGGTTTCATGCCAGCAGATTTTGGAGAGAGATGAGAGAACTTTCTGTATGAATGATTGATTGGTTTCAATCAATATCTAATGAAGCATTATCATTTTATCATGTACTTGAAGATGAGCTTGATGGAGAGATCCAATGGCAAGCAAAAGTAGTGGAATTTATCAGGAAAAAAAATTTCACAAGAAAACAAAGACATGTGAATGTATTTTGGCAATATGTGGATTGATGGGATTGGTTTTAAGACCCCAAACTTAAGGACTAGTTTTGCAGATTGGATTGGCATTCCATTTCAATGGGGTCACAAGCATCTATCTGCAGGTCGTTTAGGTGCAATTATTACCTGCCTGAAAGGGAAGCATACCCGTGAACAAGTAAATGAGGCGGTGCTGATAAAGCCTGGTATCATTTAGCTCATGCTAAAGATATGACTTCGCTATACAAATTTAATGCAATGGAATCACATGGAAGTGGATTCCTTATTTATAATTGCTGTGAAATGCTAGTAGTAAATATGACATTAAATACAATATTGGATCAAGATCATGGCTGGAAGATGATTCGTGTATATGTCTATGAATCCATAAGCTTTCCATTATAGATATAGGCAGCTATCGAATGCAAGAGAAAAAAAAAACAAATTTCTAAAGACGCGATTACATCGTCACCTACTCACTGTTACTTGAGAACGCCCTCAAACATGCCATGCAATAATGATGTCACTGTTCTACTATGGAACAGGAACAGAAGTTCTTTTTACAATAAGGAACATGAACAGAAGTTTTTCTGGCGCCTCCTCCACCTTTTCTGCTAATATACAAAGATCAACCACGTTTTAACATTCAACATATATAAGAAAGTATAAAATGGGAATCCACCTTTTCTGCTAATATACAAAGATCAACCACGTTTTAACATTCAACATATATAAGAAAGTATAAAATGGGAAAAGTTATGACAAAACCGGAGTACCTGTTTTCGCTTTGTTACATACAAAGATTCATACAATGATGTCACTGTTCTACTTATGGAACAGGAACAGAAGTTCTTTTTACAATATGGAACATGAACAGAAGTTTTTCTGTGGCGTCTCGTCCCACCTTTTCTGCTAATATTCATGATTAACCACGTTTTAACATTCAACATATATAAGAAAGAAAGTATATATGGGAAAAGTTATGACAAGACCGGAGTACCTGTTTCGCTTTTGTTACAGATGTTGGACAACAACATGCATGGTGATGACAGCTCTAGGGAATCATCGAAAGGGTTCTACACTGGCCGACAGTCTTGTCGTTCTCCAAAATTTTCCCAGCATTTATCAGCTTGATGTCATTGGCTACCTTGGGTGCAAACTTTTTATCTAACACACATCGAAACAATTCAGATCCAACGTTAGAAAGCACAAAGACAACCTTATTTTATCTAGATCTTGCTACATGCATCCTACCATTACGAAGGTTCAGAAATATGATTTCCATTCTGAATTGTGTGAACTCTCATGTATGAATCGAGTCTATGATATAGTCCAACAATTTAGAAGAAACCTTGAAAATTCACGAAATTCTCGTAAGCAAGGTATCCTCAAAATCGTCCTAGATTACCAGCTCAAAGGATTCAAAACAAAATTAGGTAAACCTTTCAAAGTGGATGCGCAAAAGTAACTCAAGCAGTAGTTTCAAGTAGCCATGGCTAACCTTGATGGTATAATATCACACAACAACAGAGTAGAACAAGAAGATGGCATAAGAAACAAATAAAACATACATAATTGGCAAGAGAGTAGATTTTCGATTGTAATTGTAAATACAAAGTAATTTCAACCCAAGAAATTTGACTGCATGAAAGCAGGATGAACGAAAAAGGCATCCTACCAACCAAAAGGATGGGGGAAAAAAAACAAAGTTTGTTCAGCAAGTATTACAAAATGGAATATAAGATCATCTTACTCTTACATGAAATCAAAGATTAAAAAACCTTGTTTGATCTCAGAAGTACCATCCACACATGTAAATGAAAATATATTGGGGTCATTAACCATACGCACAGAAGGATGGAAGAATAGTTGTCTAAAACAACCAAAAACCAACAGAGAATAGGATGGCAGAGAAAACCCTGAATATCGTCATCAATGCTTGAACAAGCAATATCAACTTCATCCAAACTAAAATTAATCATAATAGAATAAAAATCAACTTATAGGATCCAAAAATAGAAGGTGGAGCTGCTTTTTACAAAAACTGAAGAAGTCTCCTATGTGAACACCATATCCATGGCCACTTTTGTCAAATGCGAGAAAACTTGTGTATTTGTACAAACCAGTTACTATTATTATCAAACTTAAGCCTTCCAGTGACCAGTATGCCATCATTGAATATAGGAAAACCAAACTACAGGATTATGTTAAACAGGTCCAACTATTATTTCAAGAAAAGCGAACATTGATAAGGTGAAACAACCAGTCCACATACGGCGTTGCGCCCTTTTTAAACAATCCAAATTAAATGCTACATTCAAAACACTTGAAACAAGAAATCTAAGCACAAAATTTCCCACTGCATTATCTTAAAGACAAGGAGAGATTTATTCATCAAGCCATAACTATAAAACAACTAATGCAAAGAAGGGAGCAAAACAGTTATGCATATCCTAGAGTCACACTAAAGCAAAGCCCCCTAAATTTATTAGGATTATGCCTCTTTGAAGAAGCTTAAATTAAGATTAACTTGGCAATTGACAATGTAATTTGGTATTAAAAGCAATAAACTTTTATGGAAAATTGAAGCGCTTAATTAAGATTAACTTGGCAATTGACAATGTAATTTGGTATTAAAAGCAATAAACTTTTATATGGAAATTGAAGCACTGACCTTGGGCCACTCAGCACGATTCTTTCCTTGACCATAGCAACGGTTGAAGATTCTTTCCTTGACCATAGCAACGGTTGAAGCGGGGTGAGTATCGAAATGGACCGATGTCCGATCCATCATACAATTGGAATTTAAGCTCTACCAAGTCCTCCTCTGGCATTTGAATTTTCAAAACTTTTCCAACAAATTCAAACAAGTAAAAATCTTTACTTTGAAACAGAAAATAAATTCCTAATCACTCTAAATTCACCACTAAAATGCAATAACCTCACTTCCTACAGAAAAATCCAAACAATAAAAACACCCTTTGTTTTGGTTGCAAAGAAAATGCAAGAAATTGAACAGAAAGTTCTTCTTTTAAAAGGAAAAAAACTCAGTTTAAATTACCAGGAATATGAAAGACATACCCAGATTCCAAACCACAGCTCCATCCACTCCGACACTTCACTTCGTTTTTTAATTAAAGAAAAAACTCAAAAGAGATTGAAAATCAATAAAAAAATGAAAACAAAATATGAAAAATAGAATAGAATACCTTCAAAATAAAGACGAAAAGAATCGTTCGGAGCTCTATTTTCTTGAGGGTTTATATAATTACAGTTACAGACTCCAAGATTCTGTTAAATCCTGGGATTAGACCCGATCTTCAAGGTTTCCATTTTTTACACTGCCTTTGTTTATTCATTTTCCCTTTTAATTATGGAAATAATTTCAACGATAATGTAAACAGCGACAAAAGGTCAGATTCGAGTAAATAAGACATTGCACTTATTTTCGTTTGAAGTTTTTTTAATAACATATAATTTTGGGAAGATTTTTTTTTTGTTTTTTTAAATATATAATTTTTTTAAATTGGTTTTTGAAACATATATATAATATAATTTTTAAAAATATTTTGAAATAATATAATATATAGTTTGAAAATATATATTATATAGTTTTAAAACATTTTTGAAAAAAATATATATAATATATAGTTTTGGAAAATATTTTGAAAATGTATATAATATAATTTTGAAAATATTTTGGAAATGTATATAATATATAATTTTGAAAAATATTTTTCAAAAATATATATGGTTTTAAAAACAATTTTTGAAAATATTTCAAAATATATATAAAAACAATTTTTGAAAAATATATATTATAGTTTGAAAATATTTTAAAAGCATATATAATATGGTTTAAAAATGATTTTCAAAAATATATAATATTTTCAAAATTTTTTTAAAACCATATAATATGAAAATGTATATAATATATATTTTGAAAAATTTTTTGGAATTTTATCTATATTTTTTTTTTTATATGTTTTAAAAATTTTTGAAATATATATATGTTTGAAAATAATTTTAAAAGCATATATAATATATGGTTTTAAAAATGATTTTTTATTTATTATTTTTTTTTTGTTTTTTATTTATTATTTTTGAATATTTTTTTTTCCCTTTTCTGATTTTTTTTTTGTTTTGTTTCCGTAAGGGTCCAAGTCAAGGCATGCCTGGCCCATCAGGCAAAGATCAGGTCAAGCCCGAATACCCAATAAACCAGGTTCATTAAGCCCACCCATATTATGGTTTCAACATTCAGCATTGCGCCGCATGGGAGATAAAATCACGCACGTGAAAGTCACGCGCCAGTTAAAGTTTCGAAGACCGATCGAGATTTCAGTCGAACAACCCGGGATTGCAACATCCCAGGATTTTAGCCTGCAACGTTCACACCCCGAGTAAATCGAGAACGGGGAGAGTGACTCCCGTAGCCATCGAAAACAACCCCCCAACGGGGGGCTATATAAGAACCGGAGCCAAACATAACAAAAACACCAAGAAAATCCAATCAACATCGAGATACAACGAAACACAACGGGACACGGTGAGCAGCCAAATACCAGCAAAAACAGAGAAACAAACGAAAACAAAAGATCGTGCAAGCCCAAACAACAAATACCAACCAACAAAATAACCCAAGAGCACCGAAAACCGTAGCAAAGCATACGAAAATCAAGCCAAATCATAAAAACAGAAACCAAAATCTCGTCGGAGAAGAAGAACTAACACAAAGGAGGAGGCTCTTCACCGCCGGAGAAAGCTAAAGGTCACTGGGATCTCAAAAGTCATCAAACAAAAGGTAAAAAAATCACATCTTCGGGGGTAGATCTACACTTATTGGGCTACCCTTAGTTTTGGCTGTCTCGATTTTGGCTCTCGGTTTTGGCTTCGGGGTGACAAGGGAAAGCTTTCGGGTA